GGGAAAGAGGCAAAGTTGCCATGTTGAATAATTGGGTTTTCTTCAACTCAAGGTTGGTCATGAGCAACAAGGCACAGATGGGGTCCCCAGCACAGATGGCAGCAGAGTTACCTCCAGGCTAAGAGTGAGTGTTCATTATGTGCCGCTACGGCAGGTTGGGGGATCACAACTAACCTAGAACCAAATGGAAGGAGGGACACAGGTGGGGGTCAAGGGCAGGGGTCGTGCATGTCCTTGTCGAACCCCTGCATGCCTTTCGCACACTCCAAGTCACATTCCTAGTCTGTCAGCCAGATCAAATGCTACTGCTGTCACCCAGAGCATCTCCCCCTCAGAAAGAGCTGCAGCAAGAAATCAGCAGTCCTTCTCCTACCCCCTACCTGACTGAAGGAGGGAGCAGAGCTCAGCGAAGCCCTGGGGAACAGGGCCACTGTGCCCTACTCTGCTATCAGTGTGCATTTCTACTCTCCTGGCTCACCTGTGACGGTGAGGCTGGGTCTAGATAATTGGTGACTGTTCCCTGCTAATCAGAGCTGTTCCCGCACACTCTCCAGCTCTGGTGTCCCAGATGTAGAGAGTGCCCAGGAGTCCCGGCTCACATCAGTGAGGATTGCATTATTACTGGTGAAGCGGTGAAGAAGAGGGATTGTGTCACCTCCCAGCATAAATAAGTCTGCTTGTGGAATGAGCTATGGGCTATCTAGAGAGGTAGTTATGCAGTAGAATGAGTGTTGTGCCCCAGATCTCCCTCCCGCCACTCCTTCCTTTTGACTGTCAATAATCTTCATATGAGAAAGGGGTGACACAAACACTTTTTCCTTTCTCTGGTTTTCAGAAAACAAACAATGAAAGGAGATGTCCAGATCTACCAGAGACTGTGCTGCTAGGACTCAGGTTGAGCTGGGCACTGCTGATTCCTGTAGCTGTGAGAGCCACATCACCTTTCCTCTTGTCTCGGGTGGCAGAGGACCTCTGCCCTGCCACGTCAGTGCTGGCAGGACTTCCAAGTGTAATTAACTTGCCACGAGCATCCTATTCCTTTTGCCATTTCCTTCCTGATTCCAGGACTAACTTCCTCGAAGTCCTGGGCATGGCACAGGTCTGGTTCCTTAGATCACCGCCACTCCCTGGGATGTAACATAGCACCAATGGGAATCATCTGCTCTCCCTAGCACAGAGCCTTGCCCCACTCTGCAAGTCGCCTGCGCTCCAGTGTCTGGGAAACATCTAGGAAAACATAGTAGCCCTCAGTGTGAAAGCAGCAAAATTTCCCCGTGTGCTCCCCACGCATCTCCTCTCTCACGTTCCTTGCATCCCTCTTCATAAGGACTTCTGCTGATGCTGCTGATTCAGACAAGTGAGAAAGGCAGAGCTGCTTTTCCTCTGTCCTAGAGGAAAATGCGGGAGGATCATTTTCTCCATGTGAGCTGGACTTTCAGAGCATGCCTAAGAAGGATGCCTGTGACATTTTTGCTTTTCAGCCTGGGTATCGTCTTGCAGAGATTTCAGGCACATAAATCCTGCTGCATATTTGGTGAAGGGTCAGCTCTAAAAGGAGGCAAGACAGGCTGGTAACCGAAACATGGGTGTTTGATTCACAGCCTAAAGCATGACTCACGCCTCTCTTCTGGGCTTTAAAGCAGGCCAGCCAGAACAAGAACTTTGGTGTTTAGACCTTTAGTGGTCACCAGAGAGCAAGGAATGGTTCAGAGAAAGTGAGCTTGGTATGGTTAAGGGAAAGTATTTTCCCACTACATGAAAGAACTGGCAGCTAGTATTTCCTCAAAATAAGACCCACGTGATTTCAGCTGCCTTGAAAGGCCAAGGCTTGAGAACTATTGCATAAAATACACCTGGCCTAACTCTTCCTTGAGCTCCACCAGTGGAACCTCAATGAAATGAACAGTGCAACAAACAGCAGAATTTAGCTCTGTGTTCCCTTCCCGCTGCCTACCACTCCCCACCATTTCCCAGCCCCTAATTCTTGCACCCTTAACCTTTTCCTTTCTCCAGGCTTAAGAAAACCCTTTGCAACTAAAATTCTCCCCTTACTACCACCTCCTCCCTGATAGGAAAGTGGTTCTGTAGAGTTCACTGCCAGTGCATAGGTCTCAATGTCAACTTAGTCGGAACGAAATAACCTTGTACCACATTTAGAGTGTATCTCCCAGAGGAAGCAACTTGACATTTGCACATCACAGAAACTTTGTGACCTGCACTCATAAAGCTCAAATACTTTACAGTAGGTAGAACTTAAGTTACAATGGTGGTGTCCCCTGATGAATTTACTTTGGCCCTCCCTGTTACTCCCCAATTTGTTCATTATTATTAATGTTACTGCAATAAATATCAGAATAGAATTGACAGCATTTGGCCACATTTCTTAAAGCACTACTCCACTCCTCTTTCACTTTTTGTCTTTGCAGCTCTGATTTCTATTCTTATCAGTCATCAGAGGAGCCCTTAGGGACAAACCTTTTGGCTATGTGAGCGGCAAGGTAGTAAAAGCCATGCAGAAGGGTGGCCGTGGCATCAATAACCAGTGAGAAGGTGCCACCAATCCCAGTGGCTATGTCTTTGAGGACGGAGGGAATGGCACAGATGGAGTAGTAAGGGAAAGCAGCGAGGTGAAGGACAAATCCCATGGGGATGCTCAGGATCTTGTAGGTGAAGATTGTGACATCTTGAATAATTTCCAGAAAGCCCTGCAGGATGTTGATGATGACCTTCCCCACATCACAGGGAATGCTGATCAGCACCTTGCTGATCTCTGTAAGGTAGAAAACCACCCCATTCCACAGACTGTAGACTCCATCCAGAAGAGTACTGCCAACCCGCTTGATAATAAGCCACAGAAAATAAAATATGAATTTCACTAGCTCCACAAACACGTAGATGAGGAGTTCCAGAAGTTTGATGAAAGGGGTGGCAATGATGCCAGCCACTTTTCTCACTAAGCCACTGTCTTTGGCCTCCTGGTTGTCACTTGTTCCTGCTTGTTCTCCAGACTGGATCTGAGCAACAATTTGCCGTATTGCTTCCATTTTCTCCTGGCTTTGGTTATCTTCCCTACAGTTGCCCTTGAACAACTGAACTCCTGCTAAAAGCTGCTTCTCCAGCTCTCCCACTGCTAGCTCTGCCAAACTGCTTTCATCTTTCATTTTCTTCACCAGTCCTAAAGACCATCCTTCTGGAGCATCACAGCATGCTGCCAGCCAGAGACTCTCTGGCACTGACACCTTGCCGTTAACTTGGATGTTGGAAGGAACAGCACCTGCAAGGAGATACAGATGATCCTTCTCGGAACAGTGAGGGACTAGAGCTTGCTCCACTACCCTCCTGATGTCTCTGTGCCAGCTTTTGCTGAGAGATGGGCTCAGAGGAACGGCGTTCGTAAGGGTGTAAGTGGCCATCTGGAAATCTTTCTCATTAAGCAAGCTGGGATTCAGCAGCCCTCTCTCATAACCAGAGCCCACATAGTCTGAGGTCAGGGCCTGATTTGCACCAAGGTTAGCAACAGAGCCATCAATATCAGCTTCATGCACCATCTCTTGTAGCTCATTTTCTGGATCATCAATCTGAAAGAGTAGAGAGAAGAGTTATTGGATGCATTTTACCTTCTTAGAAAGCAATGTGCAAAATAGATCGTAAAGTGCATTTTCCATCATGACTGCTATGACACACTGTTCCTCAGAACACATGCTGCACTCCTTCCTTATTTTCTTTTCAGTATTTCAGAGGTGCATATGCTGTACTTAGCTGTTCTGACAAGCACATAGGTGTAGGGCAGGGATGCTTACAGTTTTCCATTTTGGTCTACAGCACAACACAGCCTTCAGAATTTCACCAGCCATCCTGTACTAAGCCCCTAACTTGTGCCTGTTGTAAAAAATATTTTTAAGAACAATAGATGACCACCTTGAAGATGGTGGTACCTCCAGCTCAACTAAAGCACCTATTGTGGCACTTTAAAATATGAATGAGCAATTCAATTCCTCTTAACTGTCAAATCCAATCCATTCATTGTGCAAGAAGCCAGAACCAAGTAGGGCAACATGGCAGTGACCTAAATTGTCCTTCACAGTCTCGAACATAGGCACTGCAGTGAGCTCACAGGGCTCTCCTAAGACTTGTCATTTACAATCTGAACCTCACCCTCAAAGACCACATACCTCCCAGGGGCAACATGGGTAGGGACACTGTCACCGTGAGTCCTTGGTGGAATCTGTGCTATGTGCCTGTTTGTCATTCTTTTGCCATGGAGTTGTAGGTAGTAATTGCTGGATCAGGCATTCCTTCCAGAGCCTTAGAAGGTCGTGCACCAGGAGGTAATAAGCAGTGGGAGCAAGAGCTCTTAAACACCATGGTACGCTCAGGTCTTTCTCAGAAGGCTGCAGCTTTGTCTTTCTCTTAGTCACTCCTTTTTGACACTGTCTCCAGCCTTTCCACAGGGGTGTACCTCATTGTAATTTTCTTCCCCAGATTAAAGGTTATATACGCATTGGTAGAAGCTCAGGGGTGCAGCCAGTCTCTGGTAGTCACTGCCTCATGTGGTGTCTGCTTAAGATGCCATGGCGCTGAAGTCCCAATGCTGTGCTGGCCCAATTAAATCTGCTGTCTTTGCTCCTGGCCTAGAGACTGTTTACTGCACTCTATAACACATATTTTGGAAATGGATATGGCAGATAGATAGTTCATATCCTGCTTTGAATCACTCTGTGCTCATCCCTCCTAGTCCCTTGGCTCCCCTGTAATGTATTTGAACAGATGGTTCCCACCATTTATGTCCCTGAGATCTTTCATAGGGTTTGCACCCTTTTGGTACCCCAGCTTCCTGCATTGTGTCTTGATAGCTGTGATGTCTACACCAGCTTCTGCTAAGAAACAGTGTGAAAGGGACAGTGCTAGTGAGCGTATGTAGCTATCCATCATCCTCATTGTGGGAACTGAGGTTTGACTGGCCTCTTGCATCACCCAAGCCCCTGAAGCCTAGACTTAGGAGTCTCTCTGCACAAAGGCTGGTCGCAGTGCCAGCAATATTAGCCATTTCAGCAGACCACATTACCCCCATTCGCCTGCTAGCTTTCTAGCATTTTGTTTTGAAGCATCTGATGCTTATTGCTACCGGGCTAAAACGAACACAGGCCTGACCCAGGTTAGTGACTCTACGTGCTGATGCACAAATCTTAGTTTTTCTAAATGCATCACTTACGAAAGACTTTTGCCTTATTTTGCACCCTCTTCCTCATGCTCCCTAGCTGCTCCCTGTGAACTACAGCTGTCTAACAAGGCCAGATTTGTTGAGCTGCACTCCATAAAATTACAGCCCCTTCCTTGGCCTCCTCTGTTTTCCCTGTTTTGATGAGAGGACAGTGTTGTGTTATGGGATGAGGGATGCAGCTGGTGTGTTTACTCACACAGTATATATGAGGGGGGAGCTGACACAGGTGCTAGGCCGTGCCTGTGAACTGCCTCTTGTACCATCACCCCTTTAAGTGAAATGTCATTTCAGGGGCACTCATCCACACTTGTTCCCATGGCAGATCTATGCTGCAGCCTCTTTCCTGCCTCAGAGTCCTGCAGCCTTCTTGATAAATTAAAGAAAATGATGGAGGGAGACTGAGATGCTGTATCACAAAAGATGCAGATCTGAGACTAGTCAGCTCTGCCTTATTGCAGATTCCCAGCCTACATTAAGCTTATAGTATAAACTTAAATTTCTCTGATTATGAGCTAGCACATGCAAACTTGAAGATGCCTATTAAGTAAATATGTCTCCAGTTACCTGTTCAGCTGCAGGATTTTACACATACCATTGGGATTGCTCAGGTGCAATTAAAAAAACAGGAAAAGCGTGGCCGTGTGCTGTTCCTATGTCAGAAAACAAGAGTAGGCTGTGACATCACTAAGGGCTGATGCTTTATAATAACTCACATTATGCTTTGCAATAACTCATGTTATTGAGCTTTTCATGCCTCCTCTGACAGAGCCCCAAGGGCAAGCTGTCTCCAGCACTGTATCTGCATGCAAGCTGCCTTTCCTCACTGGCTCAAAAAGCTTTTGGTTTGTGGCACAGGCAAAGCATATCTCTAGTCATGGAGTTAGCCATGAATCCATCTGTCCAAAGAATTTGTAAGGACAAGAGTCAAGTACACGTGTAAACACCTTACTCTTGGGTGGATTTAAAAATAAATTACATATCTAAATACTTGCATGGTTCTGCGTTCAACCACCTAACACTATTATATGGGTTTATCCTTGCAATACACAAAGTGAGGGCTACCACTTTATAGAAGGGGCAGAAGGGGATTAAAGGCGTATTTCCATTGCAGGCAAGAGCTTGACTGAAGAATTGAGGTAGGCATATAGCTGCTATGCCAACTAGTTGCAGTCAAGTTTCTTCATTTAAAAAACTGGACACTATTACCTCCCACCTTCCCTACTTTAGTACTTAAGATGGAGATATTTCATCTAGCCTTAGTGTGGGATTCATTTCCCAGGGATTAGGTACAATGCATCTCACGCTAAGGTTTCTGTTGTAGGAAGTACACAAGTCGCTTCAGAAGTACCTGTTTCTCCTGGCTGACGACTACCAAGAGAGATGAGAAGGGCAGCTCAGATGCAAACCTCTTTGGTGGAAAAGGTCTATAGCTGGGTGACGTAATGCCCACCTCGGTCATCTAGCTGATGGTAGTCAGTAAGTAAATTAAAGGACAAGGAGACTCATCCAGCTTATTGTATTTTAGAAAAGAAAAAGCAACGCCAGAGTTCTCCCTCCCTCTCTCTAAAAGACACAGAGAGAGATAGACAAAAATACAGTTTTTAAATGACTGAAATTAGACAAGGTGAAACTCGCCTAAGTAACTTGCTCTCGACCCCTGAAGAAATCTGTGGCAGAGCAGGTTTTCAAAACCAAGCCTAGGGCATTGCACCAGTATCCTGCTCATCAGACTGCCCTTCTTGCTCTCTAATTTTTCACAGTCTTGGTTGCTGAATTAATTCACAGTTTCCAGCTGCCAATCAGCAGTGGGTGGTGCTGACATTCCTCTTGTTTCCCATCCAATTACTGCCTCTGTGCTACGTTTGGCATTTGTTTCCCAGACGCACATTCCTGAGGAGGTAGGCACGCAAGGAGTGAGACGCTGCCCTCACAACTTACACCATGATCTATTACAAAAGAACATGTGACAACTCTTAGTCACTCATCAGACTGCACAGAGCATTTTTATAGTGATTTCTTTCTGCTTGGTGCATCTCTGCATGTGTGTGTGCATGCCCATGTACACAAACACGTTACTATGCAGTTATGCCTGTTTGTACCTGGCTATCCCTGTCTCAGTTAGGAAGTTTCTCAGCAAATAGCCAGTGTATCCATTTCTGGGTTATGTTGCAGAGCAGGTGTTGCAAAGTGTTCCTTTTGGTTACCATCTGAGCTTTTTTTGACTACCCGACCTAGCCTTAATAAGAACAAGTAGAATAGGGGTGAAATCTGTTCTCTGCTGTCTCCCTTCCAGATACTGTATAGCGGATGTCTGAGAGTTGTGTATGTGCTTATTTCTTGAGAGACTTCCAGGAATTTTTTAGTCCTGATTTCTTCCTCTTATAGATTCCTCTGCCAACTTGCTTCCAGTTTTCTTCCTTGGACTGAGGCTCCTCCACTGAACTACACAGCTGCTTTCTTTCACCACAGAGATACCTGTATTTCAGGAAAGAG